TGTTTAAAAATTCCAAGAACCCACTGTCAATTGTACCTACTCAGTTCACCTCGGGAACAACCCGAGAGCTGCCTCGAAATCTCACCTCGATTAATTGACTTTGCAAAAGACGTGTTCAAAACAACCGTGCTTATTATAGCCCCATTCGTGCCCACTGTGCTTGATCTTGACGCAGGCCGACATGTATGCGACAATATGTTATGGTAAGTTTCGGCGACTCCCATCTGCTTAGGGCAGATTTGAGATTCTGTCGCGCTTTCTCGTTACCTCGTAGGCGGCGCTTATGGCACGGTCCTTGGCGACTTTCCCCATAAACTGCCGAGCAACCGCTTCCGGTTATATCGACTTAGCCCGCTCTTGCTGAAGACCACGATGGCTGCGCCCGCGACTCCCGCTGCGCATGCATACGTCAGCAAGCCCTTGTGGAGCGGGTGAGCAGGCTTGAAGGTCTGAAGACCCGTGACCATCGTCAGGAGCCCGGCGCCGAATGCGACCCGCCCAATCTGCGCAGAAGAGTATGGAAGTCCAGTTCAGCGTCAAAGGGAGGACTGATTCGCGAATCAGCTCAACGTAATCGAATCGAATTCAACGAAGTGGCCAGACCGGAGGCACCGAGCAACTTTTGAAGGACTGAGTGCGGCCAGCTGTACCGTTCTTTGCTTCCGTGCCTATTCTGACGTCTGTAGAGTCCGGCTCAAGAATCGCTTCAAAATCGTTTTGAGAAAGGATCTGCATAGCAACTCTTCAACTCATCAGTGACTGCAAATGTGCTTGCCTTCGAAAATGCAAGGCCCATACAGAGTTCAAGACCGTGCGTATCACATGCATGGGGCGAGCGCATTTCCGCTGTGCTTTAAGATCTACTTCCTTCAACGATCTGTCAACTTGACTGCGCTTCCCGGGATCCGATATTGGGAGATGGAAGCCAGCCCGCTGAATTGGCTGAGCTCGTTCCTGAGTGGAACATTGTGTGGCCATTTTCAAAAAGTTGCACTTTGAAAGCAAGCAAAGACCCTCCCCGAAAACAAAAGGTGTGCTGAGACCAGGACGTTTCGGGTCGGAGAAACTGCCAGAAAAACGCGGGCTTCCAGCGGTGTGAATACTCACCGGTCAAAAGAAAGAGCCTGCAAGTCATCACAGACTTGCGAGTAGATACTTGCATCTGGAACCATGATGACCGACCAATCCTCGCTTCAGAAAGTCCGAGAGAAAGCTGAAGGAATGAAACCCGTAGACAACAAATAGATGAAGGGAGCGAAGTTGCGAAGGGCACTTACTCGTCGATGGGTTCGGTTGACGAGCGTTTGAAACTTGCGCCACGAGGGGGGAAGCCCGTAGAAGTCGGGGAGGCCCCCGGTGGCGGCGAGCGCCGTAATGATGAGCGTCCCCAAGCCGAGCCGTGCGTGCAAAGTTACAAAGTGGGGCTTGCCCAACTGAAACTGCAGGGGAAAGGAGAGTCCGCTGTCAACTCAGGAAAAGGTGACAGAAAGCGAGGCACTCAGCTCGGAACCCGCCAATCCCACATCTGATTTCTGTTTGGAGGAGCGGAAGGTCGAAGATCGGCCGGAAAGGGGAGCATTTGTCCGGGGGCGTGGGAAAGTGACAACCTGCACCCAAGGTGGGGGAGGAGAAGAAAGGTCCAAGGACATCGCGACACCCTTCCGGAAGGCTTCGAGAACGGGACCCGATTATGGAAAACCAAAACCTGAAGGTAATCTACTTCACTTGATCTGAACGGCAGCGTAACTGAGGTAGGTTCAGCGCACGGATCCAGGAAAGGGTTCACGAATCACAATTGGGAAAGTGGGGACAACTCGAGTCAAGGGTCCCGAACAGAACCAGAGTGCGTCTCGCCAGATCCTAAGACATTGGGAGCCGGACACCTATCTCGATCTGAGACTGGAAACCAACTTTGGCACACTGCCAGTCACTTATTAATATGATCGGCTTGTCTACTGGACCATGGAGGACAGTGCTCAGCAGTGGGGCAACGATTTCGAATGAAGCTTCGGACTTGTTTGAGCTTCCGATCGACCCGCAATTTCCAAGACCATGAGAACGTTATCAAGAAAGCAATCGCCGATACCCATTCGAGTTCTGGAAAGGACTAGCGCATGCAATGCGTATGCGCGCACCTTGTTCTGCAGGATGGCCAGCAGCCCGCAAAAGATGGCCACCGCTCCCGCCACCTGGCACACGCTGTGCAGCCACAGGTAAAAGTCTCGATCCTTTCCCTGCACTACAGAAAGGACACACTCTGAGGGGCGCAACTCGGACTATCCTTCAAGTATCCTCTCATACTGCGCACCTCAAGGAAAGGCATACCGAGGGCTGCAGGCTCGTCAATCAGAGGTAGCGAGCGCCCCTGACAGTGGACGCTCCAACTGTGGTTTGACTAACCACCTCAACCCAGACCGCATTCTCTAGAGGAGGAATCGACGCTTAACACACTGCTGATACACGAATCTGTTCAAGGCTTTGTCAATCTACAGCGCCTGTCTCTCTTTGTATCCCCAGCTGTCATTATTGCATCTTAATTGTGTCTGTGGGCGACATGATTGAATCGAAAGAGTAGAAGGCAGAGCTAGGCAGGTCCGCTAGGCAGAGCCTGTCTGAAACCCGCCTGTCCAGGTCTTTTAGCACTTTGCATCAATGTCCATCAAGGCACCGAAGAAGAATGTGACAAGAGCAACAGGACCTCTCAAGTATAAACGCGGGACTAAAACACTCACTTTCGCTCCGGTTGCCAGTAAGATGCCCTCCCCAAGCAGGGCCATGTACCCAATTGACATCAGAGTCGGGTGGTATCCAAAGAGGGTGCCATTGAAGAACGTCAAACCAATTACAGCGGGCACTGAGAGGAGGAACACGTGCGGAATCGCCTGCGAGAAGCCCGCTTTCTTCTATGGTGGTTTCTGCACTTAGAACAGCTTGGTTAGCAATCGCTAAACTGCTTCCACTTTCCGGATGGCTGGGCGCAAGGTCACGAGCTTCTCCCGAAAGTCCCTGTAACAATCTTCAAGCAGAGCCTCTGTGTGAAGCTGAAATCAATAGCAGCTCAGCTGACTACTATTTCAAGATGTTCACCACGAAGTTCACTACCAGTTCACCCAATACTTGCCCAAGGAGATTTCCAGCATGGTCTTAATTGCTGCGAAACTCCAACAAGCTGTCGCTTTGCAAAGTTTGGACTCAGCAGTTTCAAAAAGGTAGAGTCTATGCGGCGGTGTCGCTAAGTAAGGACACTTTGTGAAGAAATCTTCCATCAATCCTTGCAGAAAACCATGTCACATGAGCCTGATGAATAGGTATTCTCTGCCAAGAAAGCATACAACTGGACTTAAAATCTGGATACAGAGTATTAGAGCCTTTCTCAATCAACCCTTCCATTGTCAATGAAGTGTGAAGCTACATCGGAGTGTCCTCATCTTTAAAGCGCAAATGATTGAGAGACAACTGGTTCTAACAGATTGGGAGTACCCCAGTCATGCAATTTGCTCACTTCATTTTCCTTTTGTTCCATGGCGGCCTCTCTGGTGCGCCAGAGGCTGGGAGGAATGCTGCTCAATGGTCTTGCAGACTCCAGTTAAGGTGGCCTCTCAAGTAGAAAGCCTTTCAGGCAGAAGTCTCTGATTTTACTGTCTTGTGCGACCATTAAAAGCAGCAGCTTGATCGCTAGTCCTGCCCCTTCACTGAGACAGGGAATGTAAAGTCTCCACTGCACACAGCATTGCAGCGGCGTCTCCACAAACAAGGACTTGCACTTAAGCAATTCCAGTCCAGTTCAGAGCCATGGAGTTGGGAGGGCCGACACAGAGTGTTGTCGAAGACCTTTCTGCAGGAGAGTGAGGAGGTGGTATAATACTACGATTCGCAGGGAACCCACTGTCCACAGCTCAATGCCAATGGTGCACAGTGGTGTGCTTCTCCTCGGAAAATTGCATAATTGAGTGCATGCCCACCTGGCCCATTGGCATGCAGAAGCACCTGAGGATGCGCCCCATGCGCCCGATTCAATGACTGTCCGCCTTATTGATTGGCTAGGGAGCACTGAATTCCCTTTGAGCAGTCTCAACCGTTGAAATTTTATCATCGAACGGGCCAAGCTTGAAGCCCAATGCTGACATGGCATGACATCAACAGCTGCTGCTAATGGCGCCTCGAATTTCCTGTGAGGCGTGCAGGCACCATAATACAACCCACATCACTGCTGGAGCCTGCATCAGGTTGGCCGCCTCTTGTTGGGAGGCGACCACGCAGGGTAGTGAGCTGCAAGGGCTTTATTTTTTGGCCTGTGCCAATGCGCTTCGCGTTCTTGAGCCCATGTTAGGAAGGCGCCAATCGAGCAAATACCTTACGTCGAAAATCACCAACAATTGCCCAGAAATCAAGGGATCTTTCATGATGCGCATACTTATATAGCGCTCCATAGTGTTCTTGACTAAAGTTGAGCTCTTGTCCTCAGGGCATCTCGCTTTAACAAGGCTGGGCATGGAAGGCGAAACAGATACTCAGCATGATTCAGGTACTTCTTCACAAGCCCGCATTGATTGAAGTTTCTTCACCAATTTGCAAGCCATTCTCCTTGCAATTGTAATCCAGAAGTCTCTCAACAGCAAGTTGAGTCTGTGCGCTGATTGCTCTGAATTTTTCCTTTGAGTCTATTCCGATCTTTCTCTTTGAAAGTCATCCTCAGCTTCAAGCCAGGACAAAACGTGAGCCAGCCTAAGTCGTTCGTTTTCACTTTTCCAACGAATCAGTATATGCATATAAGAAAAACATTGCAGTCAGCTTCTTGTTTTTCAAGGCAGCTGAGGCTGTAGTAAAGTAGGTTGGCTTAAGCATCTTCAATTGCGTAAGCATCTTCAATTGCCTAGGCATCTTCAATCGTTGGTGAAGCAGCAGTCCAGTATCCTGAGCTCAGACGTCCTCTTGACGCCTTTGGGTCTAGCTGCCTTGACTACACCACAATTCCAGCCCCCATTGTCAATGAGTAATGACTCTTAGCGGGGTCCATAAGGATATGCATTCTTGTCAATTTATCAAGTAGTCGGAGGAATCCCTCAGTTGTACACGGGCTTAAAAGCACCTTGCGACACCCCTGTGGCGCCCCAGTCATGGAAGTTTTGTCATCATCATGGCTTCAACCAGTGCAAACTTGTTGCCCCGTCGACCATCTCAAGACAGGACAGAAGTTATTTGAGTGACACAGTTGAATCGGCCTCAGTGCATGCTTTGCCCTTCCCCCAATCTGACAACAGTCAGACTGAGGGTCGCACCAGCTATCAACGCTGTTCGTGCCACAGACACTGCAGCCTGTGTGATACTTTTTGATTTGGGTATGTAAATTGTCTTCCATTGAGCGAAATTGTCTTCATTGCCTCGCAGTCACTCAGCCACTGCTGAGCGGACCCCGCGAGACTGATGCGAGCGAGCCCCTTCCGTCATGGGCCACCCCCAGGGCCAAATGGAAACTCGTCAAAGTTGAGAATGGTAAGAGTCTGATCCCTTCGGTTCATTTCCAGTTACCTCCTTTGAATGTACGAGAGCAAAGCCTCCCTGGCTCACATGATTCAGTTAGCCGCTATGCACATGAAAGTACTTATTCACAAGCAGCTTCCTATCAGCCTCTACAAACTTTCACCACATGAGATTGAACGCCAAATCTGCGTGCACGGTTGCTTGGCAAGTTCCAGCATGATTATCTGAGAATAACACGTCTGTAAGTTGGATCTTGCTCCTCCGTCGAGCGATGATCTCCTTGATCTGGAAATGTGTCATTGATAGATGGTCGACATACAGGCAGTCAGCTGAAGCCCTTTCAAAGATTTGAAGCCAGCCTCGACCTTATTGGTGTCTTCCTTGCAGGCCTGAGGATATTTCTGGACGCTTCTCCAGAGAGAAAGAAGGGGCGAGGCTGCTTCTGCTGCTTGAGGGCAGGGGTGAGTCCCCCGGTTGATTAGCCAACTAGCCTTTCGTAAAGTTTCTGCTGTTATACCTATGGCCAGGAGGGATTTGATGTCATTTCTACTTCAGGAGAAACATACGCGGCTGGTCTCAAAAGACCGATGATACTCTTGGTCCTTTTGACTCATTCCCTCACCTGATTTTTCTCGACCTCTTGAATCGGATGGTCTCTGGAGCTTGCAGGCCCTTGCCTCTCTGACTCTTCCGTTCCCCCTCCTCCATTGAGTCTCGATCTATGGTTCTCCGGCAGGATTCGCCACTTTTCCGTATTATTTTGCTCTTCTTGCTTTTCGTCCCGCTCAAACCTTGCACAGCTACTGGAGCCCGGCCACAGCATGTCAAATTTTCTGCACACTGGCTACTGAATGTTGAAACCTGGTACGCAACTTTTCCTCTTGTTCCTTCTTTCTAAATATCGAGTCTTTTGGCAATTTCACTGCTCGAAGGGGTCCCCGTCAGTGCCTGCACTGAAGGTCACGGCACCGTACTCCTCCGTTCATCAGCCCCTTTCCGCTCACTACTTTCGCCCCTTTTCGCTCAGCAGCATGATACTCCATGTCCAAGCTGCCCCTGCCCCTTCTTTTCCCTTTAAAACATTTTGTGTCCTCGTGAACGCTTTGCCGTCTATCACAAGTCGAACATTCTTTTTGCAGTCCTGCTCCCTCAAGGCAGTTGGTGTAGTCGCCGCCGCCCCAGACACTGTCTTCGATCTAGTTACGGGCCTGGCCTCGGAGAGGGGCCAGTGGGACCCGCTGTTCGACAAGGGGCGCGTGGTGGAGAAAATCGACGGCAGCACCGACGTCGTGCAGAAGTGCTTCAGGGCAGTCGGCACGTAAGCAATCAGAGTTGTTAAGTTCTTCTACCTAGTGTCGAATGTTGTGGCTTTCTTTCCCTGAAAGCAATTTGATATGTCTGACTTGAAAAGAAGGACGCGTCAAATGCTTCGAGAATGACGGAATGCATTTGCCAAAACCGCCGCTGTGTCTCTGTATCTCGGGATGCCCTAAAGGAATCTGGGTCTCGTCAGTTCTGATGCTTCTAGTTGGACTCCAATATCTCTAAGACAGGATGTCAAAAAGCGATGTTATCGGCAAACGCCAATCGAGACTTTGATCATATCCATAAAGAGTAGTGCCCTCACACATTTCAGTCGATGAGGACTTTCGGGCACTTCCTGCAGGAATGTAAAAGCTCAGGACTTCTGCCTTCTGCGCTCAAATGTAAGGCCTCCTGGTGGGTCGATCGGTAAGTCCCGCGTCACCAGTTTGTCGTCTTTTGGTCTGTTGGTTGTAACAGCTGCTGCCTTGTCGGATTTGCAATTTGCGTCGTCTGCTGACTCCGATGGTCTCCGGCGCCGCCTTCTGTGAGCGAGCATACGAGAATGGTTGATTTCGGCAAGTTGATTTCGTAGTTTTCGCGTTTTCTTACTTCAGGAATTTTCCTACTTTCAAGAGAGATGTTGGGGTGGCGCATAATGTTACACGCTCCTTTTCAGATTCGTCAGTGAAGCCGTCAATCTGCTGAGAACATCTAAAGGGCACAGTCTTTGCAATTTCTGCTTCACATATTCTGCACCTCTTGCTTGCAGTCGTATCGTACCAGTCCACCCAGCACAAGAAGTGCCCGGTACAGGCAGGATATGCCCGGGGGCAACTGAAAAGTGAGGCCTTAACGCACAACTGTTGACTCCGTTCTTTTTGGCGACCCTTGAACGGCTGCTCGGGCAAGCACAAAGCAAAGCGGAAATAGTATAAAGCAGGAGGGATATGCAGAGGGGGGACCTTTTGGCGAGTACAGATTGGTATCGACCTTACACTTTTCCATTTGTCTGGTTTTCTCCGTCATCGCTTCCTGGATGAGACTTGGTTTCTTTGAAGGACTGCTGCCCCTCCGTTCTCAAGGATTCACAATGGAAGCGTGTACACGGATTCTTGTGTACCGAGTCTAAGTGGATTGCTAAACAACGGAACAGCGGACGTCTGATTGCCTGCCGGAGGCGACAAGACGTGACACAGAGCTGCCCCGTCCAACTTCTGCCAAATTGCTGATCCTGGTTCTTCTTTACGGCCAATCAACTGAAGACAGGCACCAGAGGTATGGTTGGGGTTAAAGTGGGTTGGTTATGAAATAGCAATAAGGTTATAGGAGAAGTGCAATCACGGAGTGCGTAAACCTTGGTTACCGTTTGCCAGTTCTGCGCCTGGATCTGATGATTCCAAATGCAATGCCTTTCAGGTGAACCTCGAGACGAAACCCAGGAAAGTCGATGCTTGAATTTGCCGGGCACCCTGGATTATAACTGTGTGTGAAACGACATTTGCAAGTCGGTTTTCGTGGATTACTCTGACCCCCGAGTCTTTTGCCAGGTGGCGGGTACATCATTACGGCGTTGCAAGGGGGCCCGCAACCCCAGACCTTGCTGGAGCACGTGGTAGAACTAGATGAGGGGGGGTGGCTCTGCGGGCCGCCGGCCGAGGCGGTCGAGGCATTGCAGCTGCAGCTACTTTACCGGATAGCCGGTGAGTGGTTCAAGATGCGTTTGACAACGTCTTCCGGATTGTGTATGCCAAAGACACGGAACGGTCGAGTCGTTCGATTGTCATAATCTTCGTTCTGTTCTGCTTTCGTACTGGCGATTGGTCATCTGAGAATTATGGCGGTCTCGATGGTTTCTCTGGAGTACGTCAAAAGGTGTCTGCGCACGACGCTAATCAGAGGACGGCGACCAATCTGTGACGATGGTTACAATCTGCGCGTCTTCCAGAAGCAGAGACGAACGGCTAAAACTCATGGCTATAAGCTCAATCTTGTGATGATTCGCAAGGACGGACAATCAAAGATTGACAAAGCCAAGGAACATACTTCCATGTGGTGACGTATACATCTGGACTTGATGCTCTGCGGACGCTCCCGCCAAGAGACGAGCAAAGGGACACATTTTGGATCTTTCTGCATTTCGGTGCTTCGCAGGTGCCCGGGAGTACTTCGCCGCCCACTTCCCAACCTCGGCGAATCCTCAATCGATAGAAAGCTCCGGGCAAAGAACCCGCCTCGCCCCCCTAGTTATCCGAAGGGTCGACAGCGCCCGGGCGATCGGTTCGGGCACCCTGGATTCGCAAGCGTCGGACGCCGATGCAGAGTTCTTCGACGCGAAGGAGGGCGCGCTGTCCGAGAGTGCGTCCGAAGCGGGAAGCCCTCCCGCTTCTCTGGTCGGTAAGTATCGCTGCGAAATGCTTAAGAAAGTAGTGAGTGACTGCTTTCCAAATTGTCGTTCGATCAGTGTCCTTTGATCGGAGCAGTCCGACTCGGCAGAGTAACGCCTGCCTGGATTCCAAAATGACGCAAACAGAAGCAGAAGCAGAAGCTTTCCACCACTGGTTCCACGAATCCCCTTGCTCTCCCACTTTTGACGCTGTGTGGAAGAATGCTCTATGCTTCCCTGGTGAAGCCTTAGGAGCCATCCTGGCCGACCTTTTCTCTTTTTCACAACTTTAGTCGTTTCCGTATCTGTCCTATCTAACACCGCTGCCCCTGCGCCATGATTCTTCTCTGCTGCCAGTTTTAATACAGCGACTTCTACGAACTTCGATCGTTTTGCCAATTCAGACACTGCGACTTCTCCCTCCATACCCCCCTTTTCGGGCTCTGTGCGACGGGCGTCCAACGTGGCGGACGGCCGTGACTGCTGGTCGGTGCCGGACCCAGCGGGGTTCAGCCTGCGCTCGAGGAGCTATCCCTTCGATGGCGGGATGGTGAGCACAACTGCTTTTTATGCCTCGAGTAACCTTTCTGTTTGGCTCCTTCTCCCTGATCGACCTTTCGAATCAGGGCAACTGCTCCTTCTTCCCGAGTAACTCCTTTAATCAGAGCAACTGCTCCTCCTCGAAAACCGTTTCAGTTGACGCAACTGCTCCTTCTCCCCGAGTCACTTTTCTAATGAGGGCAACTGCTTCCTTCCTCGAGTAACCTAGTGGGTCGGCGGCCAGGTGTTCCACATGAACAGTAAATTGTGCAATACACGTCTGTCAGCTCGGCGCTGCTCGGCATTTGCGGGAAAGCAGTCGCGTCTGCTCTCCTCTTAATCCCGATCATTGATTGGATGGCCGCCGAGTGATGTTCGACGTCTTTCTGATGCCGCTATCTGAGGAATCACTTTCGTTCTCGAATGTCTGCTTTTGGAGGAGGAGGAACCCGACCCCTAGAAGACTGAGCGAAGGAAAAATCGTCTTGCAGGAGCGCGCGAAGGAGCCCTTTTTCACACTTGTAGCAGTTGACTGGTTCAAGTCGGACGTCCGAATGGACCGCTTGGCACGGCGGCCCGGGGGGCTCGTCAACCGGACGCTCAAAGGGGGGCCGCCGTTCGTCTTCGTCGTCAATATGCAGGTAAGGAGTGGCCGGAAAGATTGCTGTCATGACGCCTCCGCTGCTGAAAAGAGTTGCTTACCTGGTCGATATCGTCTGCATGCCATTCTTCTCTCCTCTCTTTTCTTCCTATCCAGTCCCTCAGTCTTGTGTTCGGAGTTTCTTTCTCTGAGGGGCCTTTGGTTGTGCTTACAAACTTCTTTGCAAATTGGCCTTCTCAGAGGTGCCCGCGCCTCAGGGGTTGCAGCGCTGCAGTTTTACCCTGCGACGGTCGTCTTACCTGCTTGTTACGTTTCTGATTACGACACATCCAGACGCCCCTTTGCTGCCTTCACCGCTTCTCTCAGAATGCCATCCCTGTCCGCTTGCCAACAGACAGCAGGGCCGTATCTGCGCGGTTTACAATCTCTTTCAGGAAGTCATTCTGAACCTCTTCAAACATCATTGAGCCCAGCATCAGACGTCACTTGTTACGTCATGTATCCGCAGGTCCCAGCGGGGCCCGTGCACTACAGCATGGTGTACTACTTCGCGTCGTACCAGCCCATCACGGACCGCATGCTCTTCCACGCCTTCATGCACGGGGACGACGCGTACCGGGACGCGCGCCTCACGCTGCTGCCCAACATACCCAACGTGAGTGGCGCATTTCATGTTGTTCGGACGCTGCTTTGCCGCTCAGAATAAGTTTCTTGTGGAAACTGGAATACGAGCTGGCCGCTTTGAATAAGAAGATCCAATCAAGAGGACCCAAATTCCTGTGGTTGCGAATCTTGCGGTTGAGGTCGACTCTTCTTGGTAAACAAGAGCACCGAAGCAAGAGCACCGAAGGCTCTTGTTCCGGTTGCTTGATAGCCCCGACTAATAGAGTCCCTTGCCGTTCGACTGCGGTCAAGCTTGTTAGACTGTACGCTTATAGACCTCTTGTGCGGAGGTATCGGACTGATTCCATACGTCTGGCGGGCACACCAGTTAATGGAGTTGCCCTTGCTGAGCCTGCCCTTGCTGAGCCTGTCTTCCTGTGCAGGGCTCGTGGTTGATCCGCCAGAGCGTGGGCTCGCGGCCGGTGCCGCTAGCCCAGGTGCTCAAGTGCAGATACGACAAGGGGGAGCACTTCTTTGAGGTACGTGCCTCGCAGCCAGTCTTTCTTCGTTGTTCGGCGTTGCGCGTACTGACCTCGTTTCCGCGTCTCGATCTGCTGCTTCTCACTCTCCTCAAAATGATTTCTTCTCTTTCTACGAATATGTAGTACACGTGTAGACCAATTTTTACTGCCTGTTGATGCTTTCTGCTCAGTATCGGAGTTCCTTGCCTGAGGCGACAGGGCGCTCACAAATTTCACCGCTTTCCTTGCCGGCCAACGACGGGTGACGTGCAAAACGCGGCTTGAAGGGACAATCACGCGGACAGCAGAAGATCCTGGATGATTGTGACGTTTCAAGCGCATCATCACGCGAAATCGTGGCAAAGCAAATACCTTCTTTATTCCTACAGATCGATGTCGACATGGGGACGTCGGCAATCGTGCGCTACGTGCTCAGCCTCGTGCTGCCAGTTGTCACCATCTTAGTGGTCGACATGGCCTTCCTGATCAGGGTAAGAATTGACCGACGGTATCCTTGTCCTCGTCCCAGTCCGTCAATGTGGGAATCCATCCGTTTTCCCGCTTTCGTTGGCAAGGTCTTCACTTTTTCCTGGTGACCCCTCCTTTCTATCTGCTTCCCCCCAGATGGCGGATAGTAAGAGTAGGAATGGGACTTGTCAGGACAAACTCTTCACCTAATTGAAAGCAATGAAGCCTTTCTTGCAATTGGAGACGATTGGTGGACAAGTTGTGTCAAGACGTTCCATCGTGCGTGACTGCAAATCACCGGGGATTCGATGCTCCTTGTAACGTCAAGAGTAAAAACCAGTACTTTCGTAGAAAGGTGGTCTAGGTAGATTCTTGTGAACGGACTATACAAGACGCAATACAGCAGGGAGAAAATGAAGAAAATCCTCGTAATGCTCGAAAGGTAAACGATTGACTCACCGCACAATGACTCCTCGGACAGGGCGACACGGAAGAGGAGCTGCCCGAGGTGCTTTTAGGAGCCGTGCGGCTCCACACGCTCGAGCTGACGTCAGCAATTCCGCCTCCACCGGAGGCTTGACCAGCGAAGCCTTCCAGATTCGGGGAGTCTACGCATCACTGCCAATCAAGCTTCTTTGACCGAACGGCTAAGAGTTCCCGAAGTTCGACATTTTGCGAGGAGACAGGGCAGCGACAGCATTACCGTCCTAATCGATTTAGTAGATACGAAAGATCTGGTATGGGAATGTACATTGTTTCGCACAGGTTTTGGGAGCTTCGTGGCAAGTAGCTTACAGATGTGCTCCTGAGAAAGTTTGAACAACCAAACACAATCTCCAGTGAGTTTGGAGTCTTGTCAGGCTTTTGTGATTGTACAACGTCCAAGCAGGAAGATGAGGCCCTTGCAGTTTCTGACACGTTAGCCTCTTTTGCTGCCTACTTTCGTCAGGATTCCTGAATAATCCATACTGCTTTCTGGGAACAAGATTGATACTGTGATTCATTTGCAACGTGCATGTCCGCTAGGTAGGAGTAGAGCACTGGCTGCGCGAACCAGTTTTAGGACGAGAGTGTTAGTTCAGACAGTGACAAGTACGTGGATGGGGCCTCACTTAAAACCATTGTAACTTTGGTCCCGCTAAAAGACACACAAAACTTGAGACTCACGAGCACGTACGGTGTCACGCGGAAACGACCTACGTGATGTATCGAGCATTCGGCAACTTCCCAATTAAGCCCACTGGCAAATCTGTGAGGCATCTGTTTGCTAATTAGCTACTCGCGAATGTAGTAATTGTCAACCATGCCAAGCCAAATCAGGGCATGCATCACTACAGAGGCTTTTGCAATGGTGGAGAGCCGCGCGCGGGCTCAATCGATTAGGGCCGTGATAGTGAGATTTGAATTCATGCATGATCATTACCACGATCTAGGCTCCATCTGCAATGTAGCATGAGCCACTGAGGCTTTAACCGTTGAACTTTCGCGACAAAAATTGTAAGCCGGTTTTGATGGTTGGAGCCTCTGGATACTAAGTCGGGCTGTCTAGTAATTCTACAGTCCCGCGAAGGGGTCCCGGGCGCTCTTCAATGAGGGAACTTCCAGATCGCCTAATTAGCACATCTACACCGCGCCGGCACTATAGGGGCCTGCATGCATCGATCAAGCCTCAACTCGTTTGCTCGGGAAACGCCCAATACCGCCAAGCAGTATGCCATTGCAACTATCTTCATGAAGCAATTATCCGCAACACATACCGTACGGTATGTTTGATGGTCTCTTTTCCGACGTTCTCGCCGTAGCCAAGTAGGCCATAGGCTTCTCATGGCATACATATATGAGTGTGTGTGTTTCCTCAGCTGCTTTGATTGCTTTGACTACGGCTTGTCTGAAATATCCTACGCCTTCATCTGCCGAGTTTCATGCGTCACGTGCCAGTGACGTAATGTGCCACTTGGCACCGGGCATACATCCGCGCAGCCGCGGCTCGTAGCACCTGACGCCGCTTCCGTGGAGGAGGTTCGTTAGAGGTCTGTTTTAACCGAGCTGGTCAGTTGACCCCGTAAATGGAACCTACGCCGCAGCAGAATCTTAGCCGGTTAACCCAGGAACCGCTTGACTACCTGCTGCACGCGATCCCGCGATTTCGCCACGGCCCTCAAGAGTCAGTAAACAATTCCAGCTTGGTTCAAGGCGGTGTCTCCCCCAACGCCAGTATGGCTGCTGCTGCAAGCGTCAGATGTTCGAGTACTTTGCATGTGCAAAGCGTGTTGAGAAACAAAGGAGAAGAAGGGCTGCGCGGAGCTTGCCTAACCTGCATAACAAATGGCAATGCTGACAAGCAGGGGGGGCCATGGCGGCGGATTGAATGCAGCTTAAGTTACAAGAGTCGAGTGCCTGCTCAAAGCAGTTGCTGGCAGAAGGGAAGGCGAAAACTACGCGGTGAGGACATACATGCACAATTGGCTTTTCCAAGCATGTAAGAAGAAATCACCACATTGATGCGTCCATATGTACTGCTGGCTTGTCCTGGTGCACCCGAGAAAGCTAAGTGAAGTTCTTTACCTCATGTTCACCAAGTACATTAAGCAGCAGACGCAAACACTTTTATTAAGCAGATACGGCACAATGACCCTGCTCAAAAAGGAAGGAGGCAAACTCAGTGGAATTGTAGCTTTGACAAAGTCCTTTCATGTTGTCTGCCATCAGACGATTCCTCTGCGATGTCCATCTTTTTCTTAGGTCTCATTGATCTACACCCATCATCAGACGACCCACATCCTTATAGTAAAGTCCTCTTGATTAGCGCTCCGTCTGATAGCACGTTGTTAACTCTGAACGTGGATGGCCAGCAATTGCACCTCCCAGGGGGCTATAGAAGTGGCCAGTTCTGAGAGCTTTTGAAGGATTGTGGCATACATTCTAACCTTGTGTGGTTGATGACAGGAAGGCGTCTGCGGGCAACGGCTGCGTCAGAAGCAGAGGACGTAGCAGCGCAAGGTGCACCGCAGGCCGCCGATCTGGACTCCTTCTTGTGGTATGAGGAGGCAGGACTGGTGGACACTGCAACCAACCTAGACCTGCATGAGTGCTTCTTTGAGGGGTGTCCTAAAGTCTTGGTGTGCCTGCAATAGGAAGCAACAACGCCTCTGAAACCAAATCACAAAGCAATCGCTGTGGTGCCATCGTATTCCTGTTTGTCCAAACAGGTGAAAGCTGCCCCCCTTGTCATTTATAAGCTTTCTGCTAGCTAAGCCTTCCTTCTTTTTTTGGACTGAAGCTCCTCCTCTGTCCTAACCAGACGCCGCCACTGCCCTCGTCATGCCCCAATATCTGGCGCTGTCCTTCAGACCTTCTTACTTGCCCGTTCTTGATCAATTGTTCCTGCCGCCCGCCAATCCTTCAAAACCGTTCTGAAGTGGTCAACGCTCTCCCTTGTTTTCAAACATTTCGAAAGCTGAAGGGCTCTCCTGTGTTCATTCTCATCAGACACCGCGACACCCCCCGCCATCCCCCATTTCTCGGGATCCGTCCGACGGGCGTCAAACGCCGCTGACAGCCGCAACTGCTGGTCCGCGCCGGACCCAGCGGGGTTCAGCCTGCGCTCGAGGAGCTTCCCCTTCAATGGCAAGATGGTAAGCACGGCCAGTCGTTTCTTGCTCTGACTGACTTTGACTTTGACTTGCTTGACTGACTTTGCCAATGCTTTCGTTGACGAGGGTCCGGGGTGCTGAGGGGGCGTGATAGTGAGCAAGAGAGGACCTTGCAAGTGCCAGGGCGCACTTCATTTTCGTTGCCTGTGAGCTGTAATCTTTTCTTTACGTTGATATCTGCGCCGCCGATCAGCCTGGCGTTTCCTGTCCCGACCCCTTCCGTCCCATCGCCATGGTTCCCCCATGTTCCAAATTTTTCAAAGGCAACCGGTGCTGACTTCCAAAAGTATCGAAGTCGGGAAGTACGACTGCCTACTGTCACTTTCTTGAAAGAACTGGTCGTTCTCTGAGGAAGGAAGCTGAATCTCGAAGGACAGACTGACTGTGTCCGCTTATCTTGCAGGAGCCCGCGAAAGAGCCCTTTTTCACACTCGTAGCGGTGGACTGGTTAAAGTCGGACGTCCGAATGGACCGCCTGGCGCGGCGGCCCGGGGGGCTCGTCAACCGGACGCTCAAAGGGGGGCCGCCATTCGTCTTCGTCGTCAATATGCAGGTGAGGAGGGGCCCGAAGCTCGTTCAGTAATGCTATTGCTGATGGTTTCTATATTCTTTTGCTCTTATTGATAAAATCTGCATCCTTTTACTTTATATCTTTTTCGTTGTACCAGGCTCTCGGTTCCAGTTCGAGTCGTCGCTTTCTCCTGGGCTCGGCCTTTCTTTCGGGTTTGCTTTGATAATGTTCACCCCAAGTCAGGGGCTGCAATTCTCCTGCTCCAGTGGGGACGTCATCCCGGCACCCGGCTTATGAGTTCAATTACGAATTCTGCCCGTTTTCAACGCCCATCTTCATTCTGCCATCTCAGCCCTTGTTTAAGAACATTGTTCCACCCGTTCGCCAAGTCTCTCTGGATATGTGCGGTCAAGCGTCCTCTGATGACGTTATCCTGCTCGGCTTTAGAGAGCCATTTTGCCCCGCATCTGACGTCACCCGTGACGTCCTTTGTCCGCAGGTCCCAGCGGGCCCCGTGCACTACAGCATGGTGTACTACTTCGCGTCGTACCAGCCCATCACGGACCGCATGCTCTTCCACGCCTTCATGCACGGGGACGAAGCGTACCGGGACGCGCGCCTCACGCTGCTGCCCAACATACGCAATGTGAGCGCAACAACTCTTGTTGACTGGTGGATCTTTTGTCCTCAGAAAGGACATTCCCGTCCGAAGCGGAAGCAGCTATGATACGGTGATTCATGCGTAGCTTCCGTTTCTGACGATATCGTCTTCGTATTGGGCGGCAATGATTGTCCAATCAAGTCGTCTTGATTAAGACGATTCGAGTTTCCTGGTTGACCTTCGTATCTTGGTTCCCGTAGCTTAAAGTCAACTTGAACGCCTTGTCTTGTATAAAAGAACCTTGGTACTCGTGCTTCCGCTTGCATAATTTTATCAGCGCTGAGTAACAGTACGGGTGAACTACGTTTGGGGACTGGTGTAGCGGCGGAAGGTGGCTTCACGAACCGAATCTATTCGGCCAGGATGTGTCAGCGTACGCTTTTGAACTTCAATTGCAGCCCAGCTCGTAAGGTTTCACGGTTCGAAAATTGTGCGGAGGTTTTAGACAGGTTCACTGGCCAGGAGCCTCAGTTATCTTGAACGGGACTGCTCTTTCTCATCGAAAACCGATGTGCCTGTCTTCCTGTGCAGGGCTCATGGTTGATCCGACAGAGCGTGGGCTCTCGGCCGGTGGCTCTAGCGCAGGTGCTTAAGTGCAGGTACGATAAGGGGGAGCACTTCTTTGAGGTACGCGCCGTTCCAGCGTAGTTTCCTGCATTTGCAGGTACTTCCTTCTTCTCGCGTCTTGCTTTGCTGATATTGACTTGCTTCTTCTTGCTGTCAACAAATAAGAGTCTTCCAGCATCTTGTATTCCTCGGGCGTACTTTATCATCGTACCAACTGCTTGAAGAGCTTTTGCTAGTGGATTGTAAAAGCTGAACTTAAGATATCCAAGCACTGACTTAGGTGCTAGAAGCGCGCTTTGCAGCGTAATACTTGTCCAACCCACACGTATACAATCCCTATATCAATATGTACCACCTCTGTTCTGGATTTTGATTTGCTGCAGTATCAGTTTAAGAGCATTCTGTGCTCACAGCCCTCGCTCGTTTTGCGCGGCCTGACGAGAGGCGACGAGCAGCATGGCGGCTTAAAAAGGAGATACCCGTGCGCATCTAAGCTTAAATGAAGTGAGAACTAAAGCCTCCCTTCATACGGACTCACTATCAAGCGAGGCCTTTGATCTGCCCTGCAGATTGATGTCGACATGGGGACGTCGGCACTCGTGCGCTCTGTGCTCGGCCTTGTGCTGCCAGCTGTCACCGCTCTAGTGGTCGACTTGGCCTTCCTGATCAGGGTGAGATTCGACCCGCAATCTCCTCGTCTATTGCTTGCCGAACGTTCCACTTTGGGGGTCGGTCCCTTTAGTCCACTTGCATCGGCAAGTTTATTTCCTCTTCCTCGTTCCGAAACGTTCCGAAAACGTTTCCGCGTGGCGTTGCGCTTTGTTCGGTCCTGTCAGTAAATGAAGTTACCACTCACATGAGCGCATAGAAACGTCAAACATCATGTGCAGACTTCACGTGCCGAGTCTTGCCTTTGTCACATCCGTTGAGACCATCCATAAAGGTTTTGTAATGCGCCTTGTATCGTCGAGTAAAAGGAAGGGTTGTAAATTTGCGAAGGTGGTCTATGGTGCTGTGAGTGGACTGTAAGAACGCATCAAGCGGAGGGATATACGGTCTTGATTTGGGAATCATCATGATGCTCGGTATCAGCTCCGTGGCTTTTTCTACAGGGCGAAACGGAAAAGGAGCTGCCCGAGGTGCTATTAGGAGCCGTGAGGCTCCATACGCTTGAGCTGACGTCAGCTATACCGCCTCCACCGGAAGCTTGACCAGCGAAGCCTCTTAGTTCTAGCGACTGACCTGTCAACACCAACGAAGCTACTCTGACCGAAGGCTGTGGATTAGGAAAATGCTGCGAGGAGTCAGGGCAGCGACAAGCGTGACTGTTGCATAGTACTGATCCGCTTGTGAACACGGTATTTCAGACTGGGAACACGTTGTTTCGCATTTATTCTGGGATTATGGTGGAACTGACGTTCTCGTGCAATTTTGAAGAGTCTTTCGACGATCATTTACAGTCTCCAATGAGCCCGCTGTTATTTGTCTTATCAAAACGGTAGGGGGAGGCCCGTGCACTATTGTTTTAAGATGTTAGCGTCGTTCGCCTGTCTGTGTTCCCGTACAGATCATTCATTGATTTCAATCGAATAGAACGACACACACAACATCACTATGGGTCAGTGGCAACGTGTGCGTCCCCCAGGTGGGGTTTTGAAAGTTGTCAAGCTAGGCGGTCCGACCTAGGGCAGCCAAAAGTAAAGGCATGCTAGGTTAGACATAGACAAAGGTTAAGTATGGATAGAGCCTCGATATGAAAGGATTGTGATCCTCATCAGCTGCAGATAGCAAAGAGAGTTCAAGAACCACGAGCATTGAACAGTACAACTCGCATAGAAATGAAGGGATCATGGAATATTTGGCAATGCCTACTAGCAACTTCAGGTCGCAACTGCTTGCTGATCAGCTGGTAGGTAGCAAATCGGACTGGTCCAATTTTGTCTGGTACATGTCAATGGAAGCGCTGGTGCATTGCATGAGCCCACAGAGTGTGGCCTGCAGAAGCTAAAAGTGCCGGTTGGACGCTTACCGCGCTTGTTATAGCATCCCAGTCTTCGCTTTCAACACGTGCATGCCACCGGCCGTCACTGCACTGATGGGCCTCAGGGTAGCAGGACAACGTGTGTAAAAATGCCTGCGCCATTGGAGTCATTGGTCTTCAGAAGTTCACATCGACGATCACCACTGATGCCGTCTACTTCACACGCGCCAATCATGTATTCTCATATCAACGCGAGCTTGCAAGCACTATATCCTATATAGTTAAGCAACCATCTCGGTGGTCAATATTATTTCTTTTGCCCCTGGATTTTGAGTTCACTCTGAGCTCTCAGTCTCAACTATCACGAGCCTGCCGCGGGCTCGTGGGCGGCCCTCCAATGGTCTCGATCTTTTCGTTCTCGCCGTAGCCAAATAGGCCATAGGCTTCTCATGGCATACATGTATGAGTCCCGTATGAGTGTGTGTCTTTCTTGGACTCCTTTCCAGTGGCTAGCCTATGCCTACCTACCAGAGGTCCGTAGTACACCGCATCAACACTACAAGTCCCGATAACAACGCTCCTCAACAATATCCTTGGAATTTACCACCAGCTGTGCTTATACTTGTTTTCAACTTGATCAGGACCCCGGAAGCTTGCAGCGCCGATTTGGGTAGGTATCATAGGTAGAACGTGGTAGGCAGGAGACTCGCATGGCTTGTGCGGCGATATGATGGCAAACTAGGTTGGAAGTGCAAGACGCCGGGCCATTAAAAAACCCCTGCCCCGTAGCTTTCACATGCTTTCAATGGGATCTTTTCCGATCGAGGGCTGCTAATGTACTAATCAGTGGTTTGCGCGGGCGGCCGCGGCTTCGCACCCTAAGTTAGTCAGTAGCTGCCCGCGGTACGGCGGCCGCGGCCGACGGTGACGCGCTTCTGACCTCAGAAGGTTTCGATCAGGGGTTTGCTAGTGGTTCATGTTAACCAGGTGAGTCAAGACTCGACCTTT